GACACACAGGGTCTCCGTGAGTTTGGGGCTGACTCGCCGGCCCCTGGCCTTCGGTTTAAGGGGAGGAGTAATTTGTTACAGGCATGGATCTCCAAGCCTTCACTGGCTGGCAGTCACTGCCAGGCCAGACGGGGGTCCTAGGGGTGGAGATCCTGAGGGGGCCGTGCTCCCGTCTCCGCGAGGGGCTGATGGGAGAATCTGCAGAAATGCTGGGGCGTTATCACTACTGCCCTCTCTTTTCACTCTCAGGTGGGGGGCAAGCCTCGGACCCTCGGCCCGGGGAGGGAGACGGCAGAGCTGCGTGCAGAGTCTGGAAGTGAGATCAAATCAGGTGGCTGCAGGGTGAGCACCCTGGATCCTTCTGCCCCCGTCCTGTGCCCCACTTCTCCTGGTCTCCAACCCCCCGGCTTTGGGATGAGTGATGTGAGGCCGGCGTGAGTCCCCAGAAGGACGGGTGGCTGCACCTTCCCCAGTAGGGCCTCTGCCCGTCGGGCCCTGGAACTGCCCGGCATCTGCATGGAGCTGGGCCAGACAGCCTGGCTTGCAGGCTCCATCCTGTCCCACAGAGCAACGGCCCAGTGCGTCTCAGCTGGACCAGGCAGGAGGAACCACAAACAGAGGCATCTGGAAGGCGCGGGGCCGGAGTCCTTGTGCCACGTTGGCACCTGGTGCTGGAGTGGTGGAAGGGCAGAGGGTGGTCCGCCCAGGGTGATCGCGACCCGGGCTACACCCCTGTCCGCTGTGGCTCCTCAGAGGCCCCCGGCTGAGCTGCCCTGCAGATCTGGGCGTGAATACGCAGAGGGGAATGCCAGCTCCAGGCTGCTTTGGAGATCCATGTTTGAAAGAAAGGAATACGTTTGGAGAGGCGGCGGTCATCTCCGGGGGCAGGCCCTCCAACCAGCCTGGCATGCTGCAGGCACCCCAAGTCGGATCCACAGCCACTTGACTGAGGCCGGAGAGCTCTGCTTTTCAAATGGAGGACGTCTCGCCTCCCTCCTGGCAGGTCGGGAGGGACCCTGCTCCTCAGGCCTGGGACATCTGAGGGCCGCACTGCAGGGAGGCTCACTGCACCTCAACTTTGTTTTAGTTAAAAAAATCTTTGAGATACATGCTAGAGATTCACAAAAGAGGGGTTGGTTCCCCTTCTGCCCACAGTCAGATCAGGCGATGGGTTCTCTCTGCTGCCAGGTTGCCTGAAACATGCCTGTTAGCCTCCCAAACGGGCTGGGCGTCCCCATCAACACCAGCTTATGAAGTGCTCAGGAACTGGGATCAGCACCTCCTGTCTGCCAATCAGGACTAGACTGAGAGACCTGGGCGAGAGAGATGGAGAGAAAGACAGATGGACAGAGAGAGAGACAGAGAGAGACACAGAGAGACTGAGAGCAGAGAGACTGAGAGAGAGAGACACACACACACAGACAGAGAAGGAGAGGGAGAGAGATGGAGAGAGACAGAGACAGAGAGAGAGAGACTGAGAGACAGAGAGAGAAACAGAGAGAGAGACTGAGAGGAAGATAAAGAGACAGAGAGACAGAGAGGCAGAGAGACAGAGGGAGAGAAACATGCTTCATACACTGACAGCAGAGAGAATTGTCTGTCTCTCTGTCTGTGTCTCTCTCTCTCTCTTTCTTGTGTCTCCATCTCTATCTGCCTCTGTCTGTCTCTTTGTCTCTCAGTCTGTCTTCATCACTGTCTGTCTCTGTCTCTCTCTG